ATAATTTATCAAGCTTAGTAACTAAGCTGTATTTGGGTCTAAAAAAATATGAAATTTCAAGTAGATGAAAAACTCAACTTACTACCAAAAAGTTTTGTATCGAAAGAACAAAATGAAGTCGTAATTCTTATTGACATAAATTCATAAACTAGTAGTTCAATAAAATTTTGAATGTGAGTCAAATGTGATGACATGGCCTTTGACCCATGTGGAAAGGGTTAATGAAGCAAACTAATGAAACACCACATAGAAAAGAAGTAGTTCCTTATACTACAAATAAAAATCACAGACACAAACCTCAGAGCACACATGCACATTTTTTAAATGAGACAAGCTAGCAAAAACCTACATAGAAAAGTGGTTCCTCATACAGCAACTTCTAATATATAGGAAAGTCAGTGCGTTTTGGTAACAAAGCATTTTTACAATGGCTTTTATGTTGTTTTAGCAACAAAAGTATAACCTAATATTGTTATTAGTCTATGTACTGAAAGTATGAAGTAAAATGTATAAACTACAAATTGAAAAAATATTTGTTGATTTCTTAATTTAGAGTCTCCATTGAGGAAATTCAGAAACAATTTAAGTTTAATATTGGATTGATATTTTTACTTGCATGATAAATTTTTTGCACTTGGCTCTAGGCTAGATTATCTCATACTGTGTCTTTACTTTAGGCTTATTTATTAATTTCTTTAAATTATACCAACAATCACTACACTTACAAGGTTTTACGGCAACCCCCTTCATGGCCCTCTTGCACCCTCATTACTAAAATCGTAATGAGCAGACATTAAACGAACTATTATATCTGGGTAAATGCATTTTGGCTTTTATGACTCCTATTATTTCGAGAAATCAAGCATGACGTGACACACACTGGCTTTTACATAGGTTAGATAACGTGACATATAGTTGCATCTATAATTATGTATAATAATTTTATTATTATCATACTTTTATGACTTTTCTATGTTTCTGGGAAATAAAAATATTCTTAAAATATTTTTGACTGTTCTACCATGCTAATATAGGTACAGAATACACACACTGACATACTCATCTACAATATATCAACCTAATAACCCAAGTGAAGCCAGGTACTTTTGCTAGCTTGTAATAAGAGGCATACACAACACTATAACAATACAACAAATACAAGATGAACTGAAACAACAAGGTATATCATTCACCATAGTTGAAAGAATTATCTCAGCAAGATCACACACACAAATAAAAATTGTAAAATTGTACACAAACAAAACCCAGTATATACAAAGTATGATATCTGGTATCAGAGATTTCAGGTTGAAGATGTAAAAACACCCACAGTAGTCATAACAGTGTTATAACTGCTAACATTACAGCGGCTACTTGTAAATCTCTTCCATGATGCATGGGCTGTGGTGAAGACCATCACATTAAAGAATGTTAGAAAGAAAATGAAACACCCACATGCTGTAATTGTCAACAGAAACATATGGCAAACTATAATGGTTGCCCTAAATACAAGTGCATCAAACAAAGATAATATAATATAAATCACAACCCGCAAAAGCACACACACCAGAGCAGGAAAGAAATCAAACACAAAAGATACTCACAAAAACATTATTACCAACACCACCATTAATAACCACAATCTCAATTATACACAACACTCAAGCATACATTTATACTGATGTCATACAATCACCAAACAAAAAACAAATAAAACAGACAAATGACAAAACAAATACAGAACAACAACTAAATGCAAAGGAAACAACTAACAAACAACCAAGCTCAATTAACAGTCCTATTTTAGAAGCAGTTAAGACCACCTTTACAGAATTTATTCAAAAGTATCATATTCCACTAAATCTAATAAATGATATTACATCTGTAACAAATTTATTATATATTTATTTTAATATCAACTTCTGTTTACATTAAGTTTATATTCAAAAACATACATAGCTTATTCTGTTAAATATGTATTGCGAAACTCATGCCTATTCTCCAAAGTTGTAGAAGATTCTTGAGAGTAAAAATCAACAATATATGTATGTACGTAAATGCTTAAATTTGTATTGTCACGTAATCTGAATTTTCTAGAAAGCTTCCACACGCCTATAAATATAAACAAGCAGCGCCAAAAGAGAGTATCTATAATAATTTGCTATAGTCAGGATGCTACAAACTTTGGAAGCTGTAACTGTGATTGTTATAATGCTTCATTATATATTACCTATAACCAATAGAATGTCAAGGTTTTTATCTATCAAATGACGTATTGTATAACATTGTGTTCTGAACAGATAACCGTCAATTTCACTCGAGGTAGCAACATCATTCCCGTAGGAAAGATAACAACTAGCTTGGATGAATTTGTAATGGCTTTTGTCGCATAGTTAGAAAGCCAGGAACATTTTTAGAAGTAAGTGAATTTGTCTACTTTTTGCATGTTTTTAGTCTATATTCTTTAGTGT